AAGTTATTAAATTTAATTTTTAATTAATTTAATATTAAAAAATAAAATTATATGTAAAATGTAACTAAAAAAAATAAACCAAGTTAATTTAAAGTAACTTATTAAACTTAGATAATAAGATATCAATAACCTTAAAATAAATTATAAAATTTAATTATTAATTAATTAAATATAAAAAAAAAAATTATTGAATCAACCGATCAAATCTATAACTCAATTCAAGAAACACTTAATTTTATAAAAGTAAATACAAAAATTATTCAGTTTAATTTTTAATTAAAATTTTTAATCAACTTAGCTGTACTGAAGAATGAAATTAAATGTAAAATGTAACTAAAAAAAATAAGAAAATAACTCTAATATAAGAATAGATGAATCAATTAACCTATATTATAATATAATTAAAATAAGCAAATTGAATTTCAAGTGTTCATTTCACAAGATCCAAACTTTCTTCACGGGATCCCTCTGTTACTTCCCCCACTTGCAAACAATTTTTCTGTCAACGTGTGGGCTCCACTCTCATCATATCATATCATATCATATCATTGGAGGGTGGGCTTGATTCTTTGATTTCTTCCTTTCTTTGTCCCTTTCTATTGTTGATTCTTTTTTAATATACAGATGAACTTTCTTAATTTTTTGTTTTTTTTTTTAATTAGGATTAAATAAAGTTTGAAGATTTTTAAGTTATTTTCAGTTTCAAAATTTTAAATAAGTAAATAGTGTGGTGTTACTTTTTTTTCGCAAATTCACAAATATTTTTTTTATGTTATAAAACGAATACATATTTAATGAGTTAATCTAAAATTTATTAATCTAATATTTAAATAAATTTAAATTAAAAATAATCAGTTTGAACAACTCATATTAACCTACATCACAATCAACTTGATGGAACTTGATCTGAATCTATAAAAAATCTGTTAATTTGTTTTTTTTTTTTGGGTTAAAAAAGTATTATTTGGGCTTTTTCATTGTCAATTTCATTGATTCAAGATTTGAGGTTAAGAATCCATTTAGTGTATGGAAGAGCGCGACCGGTC